ATTTGCTCTGGAGTAGATAGTAATTGATCTGTGATTTTTCCGTTTCTTAAAATTACAGTAGGAACCTATTAAGACAGACAGGAAATAGAATGTTATAAATTAATACCAATACCAAATTCACTAGAATTTCAAGGAGAAGTCATTGTGATTATCATGTACCAATAATAGGTAACTTAATGCATTTATAACTCTTAGTACCAAATCACAATGTCTTTCAAAGAAGCATTAAAATATATTGCATACACAGACAAGATATGAAAAGATTACAATTGTAGAATTCTGAAAGTAATGGTACAACACATGAATTGAAAGATGAAGGAAAAAGTTGAGCACAGAGCTATTCAAATTTGAAGTGGCTCGTACGTGAAAAGTTGTTTTATTATTTTCATGGCCTACTTTGTATGATATCTTTCTTAAAGAATGTAAAGTATTCCTGACAGAAAAAATAACATCATAAGACTAGAGCAAGACAAAAAGACATATTCTAGAATGGAGGTATATGAATTGCTACTGAAACATAAATTATTTTTTAAAAATATAAATTTTGGTAGGAAAAGATAAAAGATATTACTAGTATATATATATATATATATAATCAAATATCACCAGTTCCCTGGGTATTTGTATATGTCATAAAATTTTGACTTGTTTCTGTGTAAAATGGAGATGATACAGAATGACATCTCTCTAGAAACAAGTGAAAAGAAGTATACCTTTGAGGATATAAACTCTGACATTCTCTTTTAATTTTATTTTTGACATTATAACATAATCTTACATTTAACAACATTTGGAAAATCTTCCTTTTCCTTCTTTCAAACCCTGTCACAAACCTCTCCCCACTCTCCTTAAAATTAGTTGCCTCTTTTCACTGTTGTTTTACATGCATATATGTATATGCTCACACACATATATTCCTAAAATATAACCTGTGTAGTCTGCATGACGTTACTTGTATGTATGTTTTCAGGATTGGCTGTTTGGCACTGGTCATCCAGTTGGTCCTCCTTGGGAAGGACCACCCCTCCTGTTCCCAGCTTTATTCAGTTGCCTATAGTTCTTTGTGTAAGGTTGAGACCTAGTGGGCTTTTCCATTTTCCATGTTGAAATGTCCATTGGTGGTGTCCCTGTAGCATTCTTTATATCTGTGTTATAAGGAGGTAATCTCTACTTTAAATTTTTTCCTCATCTATCTAATTTGCTTAGATAGTTAGCGCCTAAGTGCTGTGATAAGACACCATGACCAAGGCAACTTATAAAATAAAGCATTAGTTTTGGACTTAACGGTTGCTCTAACTAGAGGATTAGAGTCCATGACCATCATGGCAAAGAGAATGGGAGGAAGAAGGCAGGCATGGTTCTCAGAGCTCACATCTTGAGACAAAACCATGAGGAAGAAAGAACTAGAATGGCCCAAGTCTTTAGAAACTTCAAGTCCTGCCTCTATTGATATACCTTTCCTAGAAGATCACACTTCCTAATGCTTCCTAAACAGTTATACCAACTGTGGAAACAAAAAATTAAATATGTAAGTGTTTGGAGCCCATTCTCATTAAGACTGCCATAGTTAGTTAGTTATTGCTGTAGTCTGGATTCTAAGGTCGGTATATGCATGCCCGGTAAGCACCATCTAGCTAAGTGCTCCAGCACTCAAGTGAACCATTTTTAAACAAAGTAAAACTCACACTAGTTTCATTTATTATTAAGGAGACAAGAAGTATTCTGTTTTTAAAATAAATAAGTGAAGTAAAGCCTTTACGTCTAACTCATGTGTACATTGTCAAATTAAAATCATAGTTAACGAAACCTTTTGCAAAATCAGATCTCTTCTTCCTATGCTAAGATAAATACTTATTAATTTACTATGTGAAGTAAAGCTTCTTTTCAAAGCAAAATTCTATGATGAAGCAAGTAGGGCATAGATCTAGTTAAATAAAATACAAACTGCTGTGTTTGCAGATACAACTCACTTCAGGAATGTTTTTATGTTATACAATATATTAATATATTTAGTGCATTTTATTAATTAATTTACTTAAGTATTATGTTCATACTATATATAGCTAATATATAATTATAATGGAATTAATTATTATTAGGTATGTAGATGATAGGTTTGGTTCAGTGTAAACACAAAAATGTAGCTTTTCTTTGTGTTATTTAATTCTCAAAAACTCTCTAACAATGGTTGCACTAAAAATTCAACAGATTCAGGTACAGCCACACATTTAAGTATTTTTGGCTATATGGAGATACATTTTTCCTTCTCTATGAAGTCATATGTGGAAAATGTCATATATCAAACATAACAATGTAAAAGAAACATGCAAATAAAAATATTTACATAGTCACTTATACTTTGTTCATTTTCCTTAAATATCTTATATCATTATAGACTAGTGGTAAAAATATTTTAATATTTACTCCTTATATAGTTGCAATGTATGGAGTTTTTATCTTTAAAACCAATGTTTTATTTACCTTCAGTTTTCTTTATTTCATAAATTATACAGAGTATCAGTCTATACCATTCTGAAAGGATAAGTAGCTCATTTAGAGAACACACACCCATTTAGAAATATGTGTCAGCAGCTCGTTATGATCCCCAAATTCCACTGAATAGATATTCTTGAAGATGTGATTCATCACAAGACTGATTCTTCAAATAATGAATGTGTTTTTGAAAACTGAAGCAAACTTAATTTGGGGAATTTCTAAGCAAATCTGGCAGATCCACCATAGGGTATAATATATTTATCAAATTGTTTTGTAGAAAACTATTAACAAAAAAATAAAAGGGCAGTTTTTAGATTCTATAATTCCAGGACTGGGGAGGCTACAGCAGGAGAATCATGAGTTTGAGGTTAGCTCGGCTGTGTAACAGCTTCAAGGCCAAGCTGAGCTATATAATGAAGACTTGTATCACAAACCAATTAATATAACAATTATGTTAATTGAAATAAACATGATTTAATAAATATACAATGAGATACTAGCCTTCAGTTCAGATTGATAATACATATGGTAAATTTGTTTTCACATTTTCTACTATGATTAAATATCTTACAGTGGGTTAAAATATCCTAATAAGCACAATGCATTTTTAAAGAGAATAAACATATTTTCATAATTTCTTGCCATTTTTGATAGTGTCAGTAATGAATCAACAGTTTACCAATACTGTGGATAGCATTAGTCTTCTGATCATCCTGTGCACTATTGTTTTGTAATTGTCATCCTAATATAACTATGTCCCACAGGCTTAATCCAGAAGAGTGGCTTAATGTGCTCTCATTTTCAATTAACAATAGTCCATGGAGTAGCATGCAGTACATATCAGTATATAGAATTTTCTCTAATTGGCAAAGAAAGCACAATGACCAAGAAGACTAATGAACAACAAATCAGAAAGAATGATCTATACTGGAATAAATTCTAACATAAAAACATAAAGGTGACTGTGTGATTCATATTAACATACTGAATGTGATCATTGCAAAATATATTCTTGATTTAGGCTAGTATTAAACATATTGCAATGGAATGGAATGCAGAGACATAGAAAGAAATGATGAGTACAAAATTATATAGGCTATGATTTGATTTATTTTTATTTAAATATGCAGCCCATCTTATGAATTGGGAAATGAAGAACTGCTTAGTTGGTTCAATTAACGCAAGTGATACATCTCAAAGTCTGATTGGAAAAGAAAACACCAGTAAAGCTGAAATGAGATTTACGGTTGCCTTGGAACACATGAAGGACTTGGAAGAGAGAATCCAAAGCATTTCAGAATCAAAAGCCAACCTCATAGATGCAGAACGCTTCCAAAACTTTAGTATGACAACTGACCAAAGACTTAATGATGCTCTTCTGCAGTTAAGTTCCTTGATTTCATCAGTCCAGGAACATGGGAACTCAATAGATGAAATCTCCAAATCCTTACTGAGTCTGAATACCACACTGCTTGATGTCCAGCTCAATACAGCAACCCTGAATCACAAAGTCAAGGAGTCTACAGTGAAGCAGCAGGAGGTAAGCATTTCAGAATGCAATGGCATGGTTGCATTCTGGAGCTAAATTCCTTCAGATTCTGTTTCTTTCAGCAATTCAGAATGCAGAAGGCACAAAACTTTTTTCTACTTCACCTACTGATGTTTACGTCTCTAGCAATCTAATAAAAGGTCTCTATAGATTTAACTGGTGCCTTTTTCAGACTCCCAGCAAAGGGGGAGTATTTTTCCATTGGATCTAGACTACGAAGGTGTTTTCATATTATAAATACCATCTGTTGCCTTGTTAGACTACACCAATTATAAAATTTAGATTACCTGAGCATATCTGGAAAGGTAAATACCTGTGTCAATTTTTGAATAATTTAATATTCCTTAGAATAATAATTATCTCTTCTAATAATAATATTTCCTTCTAATAATCTAATAAACTAGTATAAGTATTTTATATTACTTTATTTACATGATATTTTATTTAAAATATTTACATGATATTTTATAAATCAGAATTTTAAGTTAATTTATTTTGCCATTTCTAGAAGATATATACAGTTTTCATTGCACTGGTAACTAAAATTAAAATTTGAAAATTATAAACGTATTTTTAACATGAGTTCTTAATAAGATAACAGTGTACACTTATAATCATAATAAGATTCAATGTGCATTAAATTTTCTACTACTGTTCATGCTATGGCATGCATTAATCATCAAAAAAATAGTCACACCAAAAGCAGTACTGTAGAATGATCACATATCCATCTCTTTGTATGACTGCCAAAAGAAATATATGTTAGGACAGTTGTTAATAATGATTCCTTCTAGGCAAGATGGAAAAACTTTAGACTGAAAGACCTATATGGTCTGAGGAAAGACTCAGTACAGAAGCCAACAACTATAACATGCAGACATATGAGCAAAGGTTGGGAATCAATACATGTTTATTTACAGAACAAGTTTGTGGATTAAATCCATCCCATGTACTATAATTTATGACCTTTGTTCCAGATCATTTTATAGCTAATTCTGGCTAAGATCTGGATTGATTTGTCCTTCTGAAAGGGGAGTTAAGAACAAAAGGAAAACAAAACCTTAAAAAAGACAAACATTTGTTTTATGATTCTGTTTTTGTTGAGTGATTCCAGTTGTTTCTTTTCATTTCAAAACAAAATATTTGGCGAAAACTTCACCACCCATGTAAAAAAAATCTATATATCATAAAATATCTAAGATGTGGGATCCTTATGTGAAAACATTACAATTAAATTACAATATCAAGCCGGGTGGTGGTGGTGCACGCCTTTAATGTCAGCACTCGGGAAGCAGAGCCAGGTGGATCTCTGTGAGTTTGAGGCCAGCCTGGTCTACAGAGTGAGATCCAGGACAGGCACCAAAACTACACAGAGAAACCCTGCCTCGAAAAAACAAGCAAAAAAATTACAATATCAAAAATAAAAGATCAACAAAATAATCACTCTTGATGAAGTTATTTCCATGATGAGGTATTATTGCTCTGAAGATCAGTTCAGTGGTAGAGTTATAGTTTAGCAGACAAAAGGCCCTGGGTCCAACCCAACACCACAAAACAAGCAAGCAAACAGAACATTATTGCAGCAGCAAATACTCTTGTAATTTAATTTTTGAGATCATAATTTAATTATAATCCTCCTTTACTTTCCTCCCTTGATGCATCTATACCCCTTTGACAAGATGTTATTTTTAATTTTCAGTATTTGACATTTGTATTTGGGAGCAGACCCATTCGTAGATGTCTAGCCCACTGATTTTGTTTGTTTTGACTCGAGATCTTAATGAACCATTTAGCCAAAAGGAAAAAAAAAATGCTTTGCAGCCAGAGAACTACGATTCAGAATACTCGTGTTCTTATTCTTATCCTGTAACACTCCCCCAATGCTATGTGCTTATAAAACATCCAAATTTCAAAAACTCTGTGCACTTCCATATTTCCTAATCGTGTGCAACAAAGGTTGCGATGCTTACTGTGTTTTATAGGATATCAGTAAGTTACGGGAACGTGTGTGCAATGTGTCAGCAGAAATCCAGTCTGTGAAAGAAGAACAAGAGCGTGTGGAACAGGAAGTAAAACAGGAAATGAAAGTACTGAATAACATCACTAATGACCTCAGACTGAAGGACTGGGAACACTCACAGACATTGAAAAACATCACCTTAATTCAAGGTAAGACATTTTGTCCCAAAAATGAGACATTAAAATATATCATTACATGCTTTTATTTGCAAATATCATTATATTTGAAATTCTGCCATTTAAAGTAAATGGTTTTTGAGGATGCAGTTACCATAAATGCAGAGAAGAACATTCAATATGAGGCCAGGTGTGGTAAGGTCACCCACACCCTAGAATTACTAAAAGAGAAATGCAAATCCTGATGTGGTGATTCAGCACTGGGAAGGATGAGGCAGGAGACCACACCAGTTTGAGGCAAGGTTAGGCTCCACAGTGAGAGCCTGCCTCAAAAAATAAAAGAGAGAGGACCATATTAGCACGGAAAAAAATCTCTTTACTTCTTACCTGACTATACTTTTAGTTAAAGACACCTCTTGAAATCTTCAAAATAATCATAGATATACCAGTATCTTCTTCAGTTCCAATGACTCTTTCTTGTCTTTTGGCAAAAATGCTATTTATATCTATTATTAAATCTAATATTAGATTTTAGTTATTTTCATTTTATGGATATTTTTCTATAATTTTAACTTTCTGGCCTGTGTTTTTTAAAGTATATTTCCTATAAATATGGTTGTTTTTAAAAATACAATCTGACAATTTCTTTTCCTTATATCTATTTCTACTACTTTATTTTGTGTTTTTTTTTTCTTTTTCCAGCTTGATTTATGTCTCTCTCACTTTCTTGTTCTGTCTTTTGTATTACTTTTTATTGAATTTATCTCTTCTTCAAAGTTACCAAAGAGGGTTTGGAAACTTTATGATTTATTCCACTTGTCTTGATTGCTGTTAAAATGTGTTGTAATATATGTTAACGCTGGTCAGCATCTTAAAAGATAACTGAGTTGAATAGGGAACTGAAAGTGCTTTTCTTCATGACACACTCCCTTGTCCCCTCTGCTTGAGATTACAGCTCATATTATAAACTTTTACAAACCAGAGCTTAGTCTATATTATTCAACTTATTTTTTAATTAAAAGAATTTATTCTGATAGCCAATTACTCCTATAAAAATCTATGTCATCCATCTCTTCTGGGTAATCTGCCTTCTGCATAAAATAAATGATTTGGAAGTTCATTTAGCCAAAGTCAGTGGTATGATGTTGATATCATTTTCTTCCTTTTTTCTTTGCTCTTGATTTTTCCCTATGTCTTACTCTATACACATTTTTATATCCACAATTATTTTGGTTATGTTATGAGGATAATAATTGATAGGGATTTGGCTTCTGAATACCAAACATTTGTAGATGCCCCGTCTGTCTTATGTAAGTGGACCAGTATTACTCCCTATTGTGTGTACTTTGGATGACTGCTGAGTTAGTTCCTATAAGTAATGAAAGGAACATGCTGTGTGATAGTTGCTCTACAGTGTCTCTAAGGAAATGAAGAAAAGAAAATAACAGACATGTTTACACAGAAACCATTTTCTCCCATTTAGCACTAGAGAACAAGCCTGACCTTGGACAGTCTGGGTTGACACTCTACCACTGAACTCTCTTTGGTCCTCTGGTTTTGTTTGTAATTTTAATTATTTTTGTAGGAAAATTGCTTAAAACTGTAGGTGTAGAACAAGATGTCCCAGTGTATATTGGAGAAATTATTCCTGTGGGTTTTGGTTTCCTTTACCTTCATTATTCATCTCTCTGTAATGTCTGTGATCTCACCAATCTGAACTTTGGATGGAGAATTTTTAGATTAGACAATTGTAATTCCAAGAAATTTGATTTAAGATTATGATCAGTTTGTAAACATTTTTCATTTTCATATTCCGTCCCACCCTCCATCCTTCCCTCACTCCCTCCGTTCTTCTATTTCCTTCCTCCTTCCCTTTCTTCTTTCTGAAGATTTAGCCCAAGTGCTTGCTAAGTTTCACCCTACTTTCTAATTTAATTTCCATTTAATATGGGTTCTTCACAGTTCTCTCTCCTTCCTCTTTAACTAAATCAAATTGGACTGTCTCATTCTTTCTCCCATGTCTATTAAGTTTTATTTTATGATTTCAATATTTTCTTCATTAATAATTAGATTAGAAATTAATAACCTCATGAGATTTTCTCTACCTTATACTAGTTTAAGACAATTAAGAAGTAGGGTCATCCAAATTTTAGCACCAATGGAACTTATAATCAGCACATATAAACTATATGGTATAATTTGACTTATTCATTGCTAGTTTATTTATTATTAAGTTTCTCTTACTCATTTATTTATTTGTGCAGGGATTGAATCTGGTGGTTTATACACGCTATATTCAATGTTCTACCCCAATTTATATCTTTGGTCCTTTTTTAATATTCACAATTTATCAAATATAAATGTATATTTACAGCCACACTGATATATAATAAAAATGATGCTTGTAAATTGAAAGAAAATAAGAAATGCTAGATTCCAGTTAATGTTTATCTCTGGGAATGAAGTAGGTGCATGAATGAGGGATTTTGTGGCTGATGGCGGTGCTGGTGAACACTTGTTGCTGGGGTGTTTTCCTTACTACTGTATTGTGTAGCTCACAGACATGCATGTCACACCCATTCTTTCTTTCATTAGCACATTAAAACACGTGGCAAAGAAAAATCTGCATTAATCAAGCGTTGAACAATTGGATGCTTCCATTGTGCATTTCAATCTTTATCCCACACTTTAAAAATCCAAAATCAAAATCTTGACTCTTAACCAACATGTCCACCTCCATTCTCAAATCTGTTGTTTTTCTAGTTTTTTTTGTAATTGTATCATTCTTCAAATAGTTTCTTGCTCCAAGCTAGTTGTCATTTATCTCTTATTCTGTTTCTCTAGAAAGACCATGCACAAGTACTCTTCATATTTCTTACATTCAAAAGTTCAAATAAGATTTATTAATATCTCTCTTAAAACTCCTAATATAAGCCAGCATTTTCCAGTTTTGTGTGTTGTATTAGCCTTGTAATTGGTCTATATGATCTATATTTTAATTATTCTACCTAGAAAAAGAATGGCTTAATTTTATCAGCACATAGTTTATAATCTTTAAGATTTTTTAAGTTAAAATATAATTATATGAATTTCTCCCATTTCATTTCCTTCCTTCAACAGTTCCAATGTACCCTACTTTCTGTGATTCAAATTCATAGTTTCTATTCCTTCAGTTGTTGTGGCATGCACATACATTCACACACACACACACACACACACACACACACACACACATACACACATATGTATGTATATTTATCTCTACCAAGAGAATTACAAGCATAAGTTCTTAATGTGTGCACAATATTGATGTCATAACCCTTTCCCGGTTACCAGGTTCTCAGAACCTAGTAAAGTGTTAACCTCATAAAAATATTTATATGATATAATTTGAGAATATGGCATCTTTCTCAGATGAGACCATTACAGTTTTCAACAACAGAATACTTTGCCGTTTAGGAAGATCAGAGTTCTTCATTTTATGTTAATGCACAGCAAATAGAAATATTTGGATTTCTATATAACTGTTTGATAAATAATAAACTTACCTATGCTTTATAATTATTGTCAGTACTTGTGATTTTTTAAAGGGCCTCCTGGACCCCCAGGTGAAAAGGGAGACAGAGGACTCACTGGACAAAGTGGCCCACCTGGCATTCCAGGTATAATAGATAAGGATATAGTAATCACTTAATGATATACCACAAGGTTGAATGATATGTATCCATGTTTGTGTTAAGGAGAGAATATCTATTCCATCTTTTCTGTGGTATATAAATCCCCTCACATGCTGGCAAATATAATGTGTTCTAGCATCCCAATGACATGGCTAATTGAATGGTAAGTATTAATTCATTTAAAATATTTTATTATTTTATGTGAATGGATGTTTTGGTTGCCCATATACCTATACAGAGTGTACATGCCTGGTATCTTCTTAGTTGTGAAAAGGGTATCTTATCCCAGAGAATTTGAGTGACAGATAATTGTTAGTTGCCATATGGGTTCCGGGAATCAAACATGGGTCCTCTGGAAGAGCAGTCAGTCCTCTTAACTGCTGGGTCATGTCTCTAGCCCAAGCACTAATTATTGATTTTTGTAGAAAACTTAACGTTTTAGTCAGAGTTACTACATAAGGTTGTTTATGAGTCTGGGGGGCTTTCCGGGGAGACCATATACAGTATATAGTGCACATAAAGCTATTACTTGAAGGAGAACAAGAAAATCACATTCCTGTTGGATTAATTTGCAAGATATGATTTTTCAAGATATATAGATACATTCATGAGAATATAGTTCTTGCATTTTCCTTGACTGCACTACACCATTTAAAGTTCCAGAACTGGGAAGTAAATAAAGGAGAGAAGATGAGTGACTTTTGTCTTGGCTGGCAGCCAGTCTCGGCATTGTATTTTATGTCGAGAAAAATTGTTCTGAATTATTTTCCTCTGAGGATGTTGTAGGCATGAAAGCGGTGTTTTGAAAGAAGATAATGGAAGACACAGAAAATGAGAAAGGACATGAACTTTCTTTACTAAAAAAACAAAAAATAAATAAACAAACAAAAAAAACTGAAACCAACAATAACAAAAATGTGGTTGCCATGCCATTCAAATGCCATCCTTTGCAAACAAATCCCCTGCACACTGTTTGAAAGTAAAACAGACTGAATGGTCTAAACACAATTAGAAAGGCGGACTGCCAGAAATTTACCTAAATACCTTGGATCCAATCTTAGTTTTCCCTTTTAGATGAAATAAATATTTTTTTCTTTTCATAAATATATTGACCAGCCACATTTACATGAGAAAAAATATCCAAAGCTGAAAAGCATGAATAGTATCTATCATACAAGTACATCATTGTGTATCTTATACTTAAAAGAAAATGGCTTTAAAATCTTTATCTGTCTATCATCTATCATATATATATATATACATATATACACATATATATACACCTATATCTATAAATAGTGTGTGTTCATCTTTCTGTAAGTAGTGTGTGCTTTTGACAATAATGACAAATAAGTATTTTTATCCAGCAAAGTCCTTCTTCTTGGCGAAGGCTCTACACATCTTAAGAAATATGCATTCATATCATACGTAGGAGAAGCAACCAACATTATTGTATCTGCCTAAGCCACTGTCACCAAGATCTGTAAGAAGCTGCTCCCTACTATGAAGCATAATTGCTAAAGCACTGTATTGCAAACACAGAAAGTCAGTGTGGCCCATGATTTGCTGTACAAGTATTGCCTTGAAAGCATCATTCCCAGTTTCTGATCTTTGGATGTGTGAGATAGAATAGGAGGGTTTGAACTCTTCAGCTTTTATTACTAGTATAAACAGACACCATGTCAAACTAATATACTGTGTCTGAGTGTGACGTCAAGAAAGAATACTGGCTGCAGCAGCAGCAGCAACAGCAGCAGTGGTAGCCATACCAGCAGAGTAAACGCAACAAGGAGCAAATCACGAAGCAAGCAGTTCTAACGAATCCCCGTTGCTATTTTATTACTGCTGTGTTGTTGCTGGAAGGTGAAATGCACTCCAGGAAAGGATCTTCCTCCTTAGTTAATTCTTCTTAGACATGCTCTCACCGGACCCTCTGACCCCAACACAGACAGGGGCTTCTCTTTTAGTCAAATCCCAGATCCAATCAAGTTGGCATAGATAAATAATAACAACAAGGGTTTAGTTTATTTCTGATGACACTGCTCATTTACACAAATAGACACTATGCAGTTTCCTCATATAACAGTTAGTTATAGGTCCTGGTAAGTAATACCCTTTCAGGCAGAGAGTTGATATTGGTTTTAATGTATAACCATTACAGCAAACTATCCAAACTTCTTACAGATCTTGGTGACAGTGGCTTGGACAGATACAATAATGTTGGTTGCTTCTCCTACTTCAGATATGAATGCAAAGCAGATAGAATTCCTCCCCACTTAATTGCTATATTAGGCTCAGTGTTCTGTCTGGTTGCTTCAAATTTGATACCAAAATCAGGAACAAAAGATAGATGATGATCAATCATAATTCTGCCTTCATCAAAGCCCCATATATAAAGCCATTTAACAACTCAGCCTAACAAACACCTACTCCCACAGCCATGACAGGAATATCTTAGAAACGTTAGTGGTAACCATAGGGGCCAATGCATAAAATAGTCAATGCATTATAATTATTACACATCCTCTAGTGTGAATAGTAGATTAAAATTTACTTTTTCTTGAGGCAACATAATAATAATAATAATAATAATAATAATAATAATAATAATAATAATAATTCATTTTATAGTACCAGTGCCTTGGAAATATGTCGAGTGAAAGTTCTATTGCTTTTTATTCTAAAAATATATACTGGGCATTTGTTGCATATAATACCATATGGAGAACAAGGAAGGAGCTATAGAATATGCCTTCATGGAAATTGCATGATGATAAATTACGTCTTATTAGTAAACAGTTCTGATGGTATTGGTTAGCTAATAATACATTGATGAGATCAGTGCTCCTTGTGATGCCTTCAACTCACAATAACACTACCAGACTTTACTATCTGAGTACTTTAAGGGGGCATGTTACATGCAAACCACATTCCTCAATAACTGAAAGTACAGATGTCAGGCTGCATAATGAAGAAATGTCTAAATGTCAGTTTACCCAGGTAGAATAAGTTAAGTCGTTTTAGACTACATGCTAAAAAATCAAGTGAATATACACTATGAGGTATACATGCAACATTTGGTATATATAGTGCATTATATACATTATATATAGTACTCATTGCATAAATATGCATATTTATAATGGCCCACCTTTACTATATAACACCATTTATTTATATTACATGCCTAATTTCTGTTAGAACAAACATTTTATAATGAGTTGAATAACATTTCTTAACTATTTGTCATCATATATTACTTCAAGTTAACATTTTTAGAAGACAATTTATAAAGTTTTACGTATACTTAAAAATGCACAGAAAGTATTTTTCAGTAGACTAGATACATGTAAATTCTGCTTTCTGGATCTTGTAAACAAAGGCAATATTTGTAAATTTTGACATTGAAGAAAGAAGTATAATCAATTTCTTATAACATACTTCCATGGAGGATCCAAATGAAAATTGGATTAATGGATTCCCAGTGAACTGATAATAACACTGAAAACAGGGTAAAATAGGACATAGACTGTTTTATGTTAGCTTATGTTAAAAACTCTACAATAAATATTTTATTCCATAACAGTAGCTTTTTCTACATATGGAGTTTTTATAGTCATCTTATAGATAAAAACTAAAATAATAGTAATTTTCAGATTCCATTGTGTGTGTATATATTTCATACCCATAAGTAATTCAAGTTTGTGGTGTTTAAATAAAAATGCATTGATATTTCTTATCACTTATATTTTGTTTTTACTAATGTGAATATTAAAAGTTCAAGCTTCAAGAATTTACATACTAGTTATAGAAATATCTGTCGCTTGAAATTTTCCCATTGATGATAGTAGCTTTCTGATTAAAAAGAAAAATATGTTGTGTTCTTAGTTTATTGACAATGTGCTTTTCATTGACTATAACATACTCATTGCAACATGTTTATGTCATTTATTATATTTTCTTTCAACTGAATGCATGAACGACAGGAAATATATCATACCCTCCTCAAAGATTCACTTACTTCGTTCATTGGCTGCTCAAATATGTTTGAAAATGAACTGCTAGCCATTTTTGTTTTCTTTATTAACCATACAGGTCCTCCAGGCCTTAAAGGTGACCGGGGGATCATGGGCCTCCCTGGAATTCGAGGATACTCAGGGGCACCTGGAAAGGCGGGGAGATCAGGTATTGTAATGCTATGCTTGTTATCACAGAGTATGCAAATCAACATTGGATCATTGATAATGTTTCTAAAATACTCGTATAACAAATAAATTTTCCACATAGAGTAGCAGCACTTACAGTTAACTTTATATTCTAAAATAAGTTGAAAATAATTTTTGCCCATCAGAGGAAAATTCCTATGCTCCAAAAGAAAATAGTTCTGTACACAGGTTATATCAACACACACACACACACACACACACACACACACACACACACACACACAAAATCTATACATTTTATAATATCATAGCTCCCTATGAAGAATGCTCTCTACCATACAGTAAGTAGAGTGGAAAGACTATCAAGAAAAAGAAGCAAACAGTATAAATAACCTTTTGAACACAGTTGGCAAAACCTTGGTAAGTCCCAGTTGAAAAAGTATTTATAACAAAATAAATGGATTTATTTTACTTACTAGTTCATAATAATCAACACTGCACAGCTATCGATCTTTATTACCACTGATTCCATGAAAAGACTGGTATTGGATTGTGTTCTTTGTACAGCAACATTAGTAGGGAATAAGCTTAGTTTCCCATTTTCAAAACAAAGTAATACAAAAAGAATACAGTCTATATTGTTAAGGTAGTTTGAATAGATTTTAGTACTTCTAGGTTTATTGGAATTTGTCAGGGAAGGCATACAGTTCTCATACACCCCTCATCAAATACACACCTGTTTTTACTTATAACACCTTGCCTTGATGGAACATTTGACATAAGTATTAAACCAATAATAGTTCATCATTATTAGCAAAAGTCCATTGAGGACATTGGGGTTCACTCTTTGTGTTCCATATTATATGAAGTGGGACAAGTGTATAATATTTTATCTCTACCAGCATTACAGACTAGTCTCTTAGTCCCAAGGATGCCCTGTCATCCACCTAAATACTATGAACTCTCCACCCAACCTCTACCACCCTTCAGTATGTGAATGGATAAACAAACCATGAAGAAGGCAGAGAACAGAATCATAATTAGCAAGGAAGAGAAATGGATTATCAGGTCACAAAAATGACATGGAGAAATCATGAATGAATATTGCCAACTGAAAGAAGCTGGTCTGAAAATACTAAAACTGATGATTCTAACTGTGTGCACTTCTGGAAAAGGCAAAGTTATGGAGACAGGAAATGCATCTATGGTTGGCAGGTGTCTAGAAGAGGGGCCATTTCGGTTAGGCTGATGGTGGGGTATTCTTGGCACCGGGGTCCTCTTCTGTGTAACACTCATGGAGACACCACTGTATGTAGAAAAACACTGTCGTCATATGACTCTTTCTCCTTCCTAAGTATAGAATTCAAGAAGAACGCTTTTGAAATAAGTAAAAAACAAGCAAATTATAATATGATAAAACAACCAAACAAGAAAAAAGAGCCAAAGAAAAAGAAGAATTAATGGTCAAACAGGACCCCTCTTGTGAGATGAAATTGTTACCACAGAAATCTCCTCTTAGTGCCAAATTATTATCTCTCAGACACCAATATTTACAGTGGAACTGAGAACAAGGGAGCAAACCATTTAAAAAGACCAGTGGTCAACATTTCCACACTTACTGATAAGTTTGAGTCACTGACCCTCATGTAACACTTGGGCTATATCCCTGTATAAATGGGTGGGGAGTCTCATATCCAAATGTGATTAGACTAGAGGACTGAGGAACCAAGGAACACTTAGAAATGGAGTCATCAGAATTCCATCAGCCCCTGAACTTATAAAGTCCTAAACTATGTTCTGTCCCAAGGAAATAAATAATGAGACATAAAAATAAATTTATAATGGGAAAAAATCAAGATTGAGGAAGAGTTAGAAGATCCTAGCTATTGAAAGTAGAGTTAGATAAAAGAAAATGAAAAATAATATGCAAAAATTATACTACATTTCAGTTTTGTGTGTTTTGTGAAAGGGGGACATATCACAACCTTGTAAATAATTTTGGATGTTGTAATACAAAAACTATAATGGGGTTTCAAAGGTGACCATTATTATCAGCATGGCATGATTATTATATTTAACTAACTATAAGTTGCTATAAATTGATATCTTATTTTGTGTTGTCCCATTTCCATTTAAAGCAAGTTCTATGGAGCTTGAGACTGTGGCTCAGTGGTACAGCATGTGTTTAGTACACACAGGCCTTGGGTACAGTCTCCAGAACTCCAAAATGAAAAAGAACAAAGAGAGATTAAAAGAAAGATGAGTCCGAGAAAGAGAGTAAGATACCAGCATTTTATGTGGAACTAATTTTTTTTTCTTTTGCTATTTTTTTCTAAGGATATCCTGGACAGAAAGGCCAAAAAGGAGAAAAGGGGAGTACAGGCATATCAAGTAAGTTTATGACTTCTTGTTTCCTGTGTCAGTTTTTTAAAAATAAAGTTAGATTGTGATATTAGTGGTGTAGGCTTGAACCAAATGTTGAGGGATTTAGCATTGATCTGCAGAGTTTCTGTAGAAGCCAGCCACAGTTTTCTCCAAATAAAACATGCTAATTGAAGTAAAACAAATAGATTAGATTACACATCTCTTTCAAACTCATTATGCACTTATATTCTGTTTTCTTCTTCTTTTGATTAGCACTTTTTTTCTAAAGAAAAATCACACAGAAAATTGTCCAATTTTCAAGTCAATTTCTACCCACTGAAGGGAAATCAAGCCTATGAATAGAAACAATCACAGTTCCCTTACACACTCGTGAAATGCTCATATATAGGCACGTGGACAACCTGAAGACCTTGACAGAATAATTCTCTGGCAGCTAGGGCTTTTGTTTTGTTTTGTTTTCACTAAAACCTTGCAAATGTCATATTCCATATCCAAGACTTGCCAACCTTCAGAAGAATAGATTTCACATCAGGGGGCTTCATTAATAGAATGCAGACCTCTTGGTGAAACTCAGAAAACCTGGGTATCAGACATTAAAAGTTATATATCAGCTGAGATGGTGACCATTGGCTAAGCCACCAGTAATTTCTTATGTGTATAAGATGAATATAATCTTTAATGTAATCATTGTGACGAGGAATGAAGAACCCACTTGAGTTTTTAAAATCAAAGAGCGCCTCCCTGTCTTCCAAAGAGAGTCTACATGTGAAATGTATGTTGTGACATGGCCAGTGAGAGCCACAGCCACACCCTCCTTGTTCAGGGCTCTGTTTTAGACGGTGTAAGGTCATGACTGGGATGAGCCACTGGAGTCAACTATGATGCTTTTAGAGATGAACAACACGGAGTGGTGGACTCCTCAGTACTTTTGTGCTCCCTCCACTGCTCCTATCACATTAAGGCAACATAAACACATTCCCTTGTCCATGTTTTCTTTCAGGAGGCCACTTCTCTGCTGCATGCTTGTTAACAGCCCTTTCCCTCCTTTTTCTTTCATCCCATATAATTTCAGTGGATGTCTTGCCAGCCCCCAGCCCTTAAGTCTCTGTGTATCTTTGTCTATGTCTTTATCTTCTCACACTTTTGTATAAAGTGTCTTGATCTCATCTCATTTCCCTTGAGGCTCTCTCGGAGCTTTGAAATATTGACTGTAGTTGAGTGTGGCATATAGGGTACTTTTGCCACTTTTAATCTATGTATTAAAAATCCACACTGCTTTCTGTTTCCTGCAACTTCTAAGTGCCTCTAATAATTTTTTGGCTAGGTCTAGAAATTTACATTACAAAATTTAGATGGGTATTTTGGAGTTTGAGTACTTTCTTTGAGAAAGCCATAAGAGCTATTTCTGTGGATGAGTGTATACAGCCTCTTGATTCTTCTACATGTCTCCCTAAGGAGAATGTAAAGCAATTCTACAATACTCCAAAAGAAGAAAGAATAATATGCCTACAATCTAACCTAAAGGGTCCTGGTTTTCTGTGTTTAATATGCAATCACATGTGCTTTGGCCTCTTTTCTCTCAGTGATAGACATTTTTCTAAATTACAGAGATACCACAATTACCACAAATTAGTAATTAATTTCCCTAATCGTCAATGGTCAATACATTTTGCTTGCTTTGGTTTGGCTTTAGTAATCAATGTTACATTCACATTTTTATTTTGTGAGGATACTGTTAAATATAGGATTCGCTAGAAGTAGAATCAATAGTTCAAAGGTTATATGCATTTTACAATGAGGTCTTGCAAATGCCTCCAAAAGAGGTCTACAGATTATTCTGTATGTAATTACTCAGTTCTCCACATTTTAATTATGATCTTTAAACTTTGTATTGAATTAATTCAATGTACATTTTAATAATTCAGGCATTATTTAAACATAATAAAGTAATCCTGATTTCCTCTTTTACATATGTGTCAGGATCAGTCTAACTCCCTGATCATATTGGGACCAAGACCCTTTTAAGATCAGGTGGGTTGGGCAGAGCACTCCACTATCATCTCTTAAAAGGCCTCTGACCTCTGGACAAGCCATCAGCACAACTGACTTCCGGGATCTTTTTGCAAGTCCTTCAAAATGAACTTGGTTCCTGTGTCATGTCATGCCTGGCTTCTAAATATGATTTCCTCTCCTGACTCTGGGTGCTGCTCGGGCACCCAAAGCACACCCATATGCCATATGTACACCATCATGCACTCTCCTCCAATGACCCTCATCCCCTGTCACCCTTCACCTAGATGCATCCATGAGCTGACTAATGGGATGTTCCTGCCTCCTTCAGACCTTCTACTGTTCAGTCACCTAATCTTGTGGAATACAATTTAACCCGTTTGGTTCTAGGAGAAACTGTATGGATATTGATTAACTATGGGTTCTTTAAGCTCAAGACATTATTCTCAAATAGAAAAAGGGATAGAATAGAAGAAAGTCTATCCATCCATTCGCTTATTCATTCAGTTAGCGTTAAGTTCATTGTTTCAGAGACAGACATAAAAATAAATATATATTTTCTCTAACCTTATAGATATAAATATACCAGTTATAAACAAACCAGAGAAAACTATCTTGGAAAATAGTAGGGCTGTACAGACATTGAGAGGAGATTAATCTTAGTGCCTTTGTATATTAAAAATAACTTTATTTTATTGCATGTTTCACTTTTCTGCCTTATTATTCTCCAAATCAAATTATATATATATATGATATTAAATCAGAATTTAAATAATTTCTTCAATATATTTGAATGAGAAACAAACCTAATAATTCAGTAATTGCCTATTCATTTCAAACAAAAACGTTTTGATCATGAAAAATCAATGTTTGTTTTTATTCTATAAAGCTCTTTACATTTACTTGCATTTTATGTTTTAAGTGCATATACTGGGAAATAAATATTGAAATATAAGTGGAAATATTTTGAATAAGTCATAATAAGAGAAAATGCAAAACAGGAGAAGGAAAGAAAATAAAATACAGGAATAGTAAAGATATAAGATCCCATGTTGTTTTCATGTTGTTGCCTCTCCATGAGCTAACAGAGTGTATTTCCCAGGACTTTCCTTTCTTTCATGTTTTAACACTAAACCCTAAGATCCACAACATTAAGATAGCAGCAGACTTCTAATTGTATGCCTGTGTATATCTCACTTTTTCCCTTTTCTGCTCTGCCAAATGATGTCACTTCCTACCTCACAGGGTTGTTGTGGGGACAAAATTATGTGTGTGAAGATGTTCTATAAAATCATCAAGACCTATAAAGTCATAGGAATGGTTCACAGCAGTCTTACTAAACATAACAGCTGTTCTTTCCTGTTTTAATGCAGACATGTTAAATCTCTAATCATATTAGGGCAGAAAGAAAAATGGGAATGCCAGGAGCCAAATATATGTCTCCAGCAAAAAGAGAGATGTTAGAGAATAAGACAAGATTTTTTTATGTTAGATGGAAGAGCAGTGCAAGTATGCCCAGATCACAAATCAGTGAATTTGTCTTAGCAAAGCAGAAGAGCATTAGTGATAAGTAAGAGAAGCAGCTAAACCAGAGGCTGTATCTGTTGACAGAGATCAGAACAAAATGTCAAATTAATAAAACAAAAATCTGGACTTCAAAACACTTGTCTGAGCCCACAACATTTATTGAGAAGGTTCTGAAAAGGGTGGCAATGAATTGGTATTATCACTGGGTAGTAGGTTGCATCTGTGCTTGCATGCCACCAAGATATAATCAAACCTGGTCCTGAAGGAAAAGGAAAAGGAATGAGCAAGTGATCCTGATCTTCTGCAGTATTAACAGACCAGTTATTCTGTGCAAACATCTAGAGAAAATTGGATTTGTGCCTGTGGCTTAATTGGCCTGTGTTGTGGAGTATGTGTGACTCTTTTCTTGTGCCAGAAGGCATTGCCGTGGACAATGTTGGCACCATACAGAACAGCCCTGGTCCCAGATGTACTGGCAGGCAAATTGTAGGAATTCAGATCTCAGGTCATCTATTTTCCAAAGCTAAGCATGCATAATAAAGTGTGGAATACTAACCTGAACTTCTCACATTAATAAAGAAGACTCTGTGTTTCCCTTTAGATAAAAATAGATTCTAAATGCCCCATTCAAAGGCATCAATCATCCCAACTTTTATAATGTAAAATGAACAGTGGCAAATAATATGTTCGCTTACCATACTAACTAGAAAGGGTGTTTTTGTCAAGCAAGGAAGTCATATAAACAAAAACTGTGAAGCACCATCTTAAAGAGTTCTAATGCTTATCTGTGGTGTGTCAGCATGCTCTGTTCATGATCAAGAGAGATAGGATTTGAATTTTTAATGTCTTAGTCTGAAACCTGTACAATCATATGAAAAAAATGTATTTGCTTTGATTTATACTGAGAACTCAACTTAATCATAAATAAACTTCTGATCTTTCTCAAAACACTCAGTTGATTAAAGTTAAAGCCTTCTTTTCCCATCACTAACTAATTGTAATAATGACCATTCAGAGGATACTTGCTGTGTACCGGGTACTTGTGATGCGTTTTCATATCTAATATGCAGAGAGACATTGGGGTAAGTGCTATTAGCATCACTGTTTAATGAATTGGAATCCAAGGTTAACTGCTAATAAAGGAAAACAGCACAAATTCAAACCCATGCCTGCCAGTTTGCAAATCCTCATGCCTCTGTGAAACGCTTCCACACTAGTCAAACGTTCTACACATGTAAATATTACGAATATTTAATATGGAGGATTTGGAGGTAGAAAAGAGAGAGAGAATATTTGTAAATAGTAGTTCTGTTTTCCAGAATGAGCCTTATAATATGAAGATTCCCCCCCCCAGAAGATAAAAATCTATAGAGACAAAATCCCAAAGTGAACTATTGAGTCATCTTTGTTTATGTTTCCACCATCGTTACTACTGCACATGTTGCCTGCATTTTCTCCCTCAAGTCTAT